CGATATATTCAAGCATAGACATTAATCAGAAACATAAAACAATAAAGTTTACTCGATAGATAAAAATCATGAAATGACCTCTAATATTCACATTTTTTCGATTCATCCTCGAAATGCTACAGGTTATTAGGACAAAAATTAGATAATTAATTATATTTATGCATGATCGAGAACTGTCACTATATACTGTTATTCCGCTAAAACGAATTTGGTACTTTTAATGCGCAAAATTCAACACCTCCTGTCGCATGTCACGCGAACTTCAGGCATATATTTGTTTCACAAATTTGGGCGCAGCCAGCGCCAAAACTTTTTCGGCATGAGAGCTCTTAACTCATTCATTGATCGAACGAGATCGACACTAGCTCTAGTTCCATTTACAAAACATCACTTCGAAAGATTTTCCCAGTCCCAGTTACGAGTTACGACAGCTTGTTACGAGAGGGATCATTTTATTGCTTCGATTATAAGACGAGCAATAGAAACGGTTATTACAAATTTCGTTTTTTATATTACAAACTTCTATCTAAGTAAAATTTTACGTTCCGATTATTTGCTAAAATTGATCCCCGGTTATTGCGTAGGACCAGATGATACACTTCTTAACTAAACGTAAATGAAAAAGAATAATTATTTCGCATATTTAGATAGATGGACATATATTAGACTAGTATGACACAAATACAACACGAAATGGCGCTATCTCAGCATTTTATGTCTAGAATCAGAATCAGAATCATATATTGTCTAAGTTCCCTAATGCGCTGCTTTTCAGTCACAACTAAATCTAGAAGTTATTTGTAATTAAAGATATATAATAAACGACTACAAGGGAAATCGTTCATAAAAATAATCAATGTAATAAAGTGCGAATAGTGCGTCTAAAATAACCGATTCAATAGTGCATATGAATATACTACTTATAAGTGTAACTGAAAGTGAAAATTATAGTTGTGAATATGTTTTAAATCAAAATTAAAAATGTATATTTAGAAAGGCTACGAGGAAGAGTACAGAGTGGACATGAAAACTAATAATAATAATAAATTTATTATTATTTCATAATTAAGGGGAAGTGATATCCGAAAAAGACGCTATGACATAACCAACTACTCGATAAATCGGTTTTTCGACATAAAAAATACGATTTGAACTTGTTTTTTTTGACACATTCGCGGGCAGACGTTTTTCTCATATACAGTAATGTGAACGTTTATAAACGTTTCTTCGACAGGATATTAAGAGCCGATGCTACCTCAGCTCGAAGTGAAGTTTTTGCCGTACTAAAACGGTTCGTTTTGCTTGGGTCTAGCGGGCTTATTTCATTAGTTAAAGCCTTTTGAAAAATGTATATCGTATACTACACGTGTTATATTTACTTCAGTTGATATTAGAAAAATCATTGGTATATGTAAAGTACCTATTTTTAAACTGCATCCGTGGTTGGTGGTGCTCATGTTGGACTGCCACGCAGAGGTCCCAGGTTCGTTTCCCGGGCCGGGAGAAATGTTTGTATGGCCTACCTACTTGAGGATTTCCTTCGATTTTTATGGGATCCCCACATCAGATTCTGACTTGGTGACAATGGGACCACCACAAGAATGCATCCTTTCAAACGAAAAAAGAATTTTCAAAATCGGTCCACAATTGACGGAGATATCTGAAATACATGAAATACATACATACAGCCGAACGTCGGTTACAAAAAAGAAGTTTAGTATACCGAAAAACTTGTGAAGTAAGCTACAGTAACAAGAAAACGACATTGTGGTACTTTTGTTCCACTTATCATACTTTACGACACCACAGCAAAATAAGCGGCTTATCTCTTATGACATAACAACAGCTACAATTGGTTTACTTCAGCTACTTTCACAGTTGAATGGTGGCATTTTGTTTTGGAGTAATACCGCCGGGATTAATAAAATCTTTGTCCTGTAAAAACGTGCTGTTAGAACAATTTACAATCTGGGACCTAAAATGTCTCCGTGGGATATTTAAGTTTAAAGAAATTAAAATTCTAACATTAGTGTTACCTTAATTAAATGTAGTTTATGTTAAGAAGAAAAGCATTTTTTTTCATGAAAAATTGTGATATAAAAAATTGTAAATAAAAACAGACTGCCTGTTCTTGAAAGTAAAAAAATTCACTCTTCACACTTAGGGGGTAAAAAGACAAACAAATTAGTTTAAACGATTTTAAAGAGACGTCGCTATTGTACTCCAAATCCAAAAGGCGGAAAAATCAAATACAGTTCTGAAATCTTGAGAACACGAGATACGGGTACCAGTGTGTTACCTTTGTAAGAAATTTCCTCTTACCTCAGGGGGAGAAACATAAGAACAATTTGTATGTTTTCGGCAAAAACATGATAAATATTGAATTTATCCAGTATTAAAACATATAAAGCTGATAAACAAAGGTTTGTTTAGTGTATTTAAAATATATATATAAGACTGACTCTAAACTTCTTACCCCACCTGCCCTTATATTTTAATTTCAAATGAGGAGTCAGTATAGTCAGACGGATTAGAAAAATATTATTTTTTTACGAAACAAACATAAACTAGCCGTTCTTGACAGTCGTCTTTATAAAGTCTCAAATTCATTTAAGGGGTAATGTAGAGTTACGCTTCTATAATAAGATTATTGATTTTGTCATTTACGGGGTTTAAAACTGTAGTGAACCAAGAACTTTATACTGAATATGATACAACTTCTGCGTACTTGGATGACAAAAATCCGTGCTAGTGATCCATTTAACACTTGCAGGTAGTCCTGATCTAAGATGTTTAAATTAAATTTTCTAATGATAAACGTATTCAAATGTTTATTTACAAAGAGCAACCCCTAGAGTTTCTTGTTCATTCTTCTCGGGGTAATCTGCTTTACGAATGCGCAGTAGAATTTAATCAGTACTAATCGACTTGAAGTGTAATTTTCTTACCTGTGAAATAAAGTTTATTTGACATTGGCTTTGACTTTGACTGAAATAATTGCGCCTTAGGTTTACGTGGTACGAAATTGAAAATAAACCATATCCAAACATCGAGTATGTCCAAAAGATTGTCGTCTTATTTAAATCCTTGGAGCGAAACTTTTAACAGATTGCAGAGTTCCCACTTCAAAGAGGAGGAGAAACTTTTTCAATTTATTATGGAAGATGGTGGCGCGTAGGTACAGTTATGAAGAGATGTTTTAGGTTAGGAATAATTGTTGAAAAAATTACCGAGTTGAAACAAATGCTCGCTATCACAGATACCTCAAAGAGCTAAACGGGTCACAAGTAAGTACGCAGAAGTTTAGTATAAACTTTTTGTTTCACAATAGTTTTAAGCCTCGCAAATGGCAAACTTTGAATATCAATCGGATGATAGAAGCGTATACATTGCTTTAAATGAATTTGAGACTTTATGAAGACGACTGTCAAGTTTATTTTTATTTCTCGTATTAATGTTATGTCTGTCACTATTGTTCATAAAAAATTGATATTTTTTTCTTAACATAAATAACATTTTCGTAAATTTACTGAGACGTTACTCTAGAATGTTAACCTAATTAAACTGTGATAGAAGCACTTATGACGTATGATAGCATGGGGTTTTATTATATCAAGGCTACGCTTTATGAAGTCAATTAAAGTTCAAAAAGCTAATAAGTCCAGTTTGACTTAACCAGATTATTTAACTTGACTGTTTCAGTGACGTAAACTTGGTATAAAGTTGTCTACTAAAAGTAAAAAGTTTTGAACATTTCTCCGGGATTTCTACAGCAGCACATTGTGATAAGTTACTGTGTATGTGCTTAGTACTTTAGTCATCGACTGTTTCTCTACCAATAGGTATCTACCCACTTTGTGTGTGTTTGTGATAACTGTATTAATTTAGCATTCTGGAGCACATATTAAGATTATCATTTCGTAAGTTTAAAAACTACATTCAAAATATTTTACCTAATTGAAAAGTCATATTACAAAATTGAAGACTACGTGTTAGATAAAGATGTATGGAAAGACGACACGGCTCCAGAATCCACACAAATTTGATTCAAAGTGTACTCCATAGCATTTAAGTTTATTTGAAAAGAGCAATCCCTAGAGTTTCTTGCTCGTTCTTCTCAGGGAGGTCAGCGTAGTGAACGAGCAGTAGCTTAAATGCGACGTTTTCAAGTGTAAATCTATTTTACCTATGGAATAAATAATCTTTGACTTTGACTTTGACTTTTGTTCTCTTTTTAAACTTTTTATTCTTATTATAATTATTAATCACTCAGAAAGAAATCCTTTGACCCGGCCGGATTCGAACCGACGTCTTCTAGCGTACTATGCCAGACGTTTTAATTCTTATTTTTTAAAAGTTCGTGTGAACTGACCGCTTACTACTTCTTACTACTTTCTTACTTATACAGATATGCAGATAAATATGAAACGGAATAAGGGTTACCCATTGACTTGTCAATGGGGTTACCTATCAATTTTACGATTACTACAATTTCTTATTACCGTTATAAAGTTAGTGTCTTTTTTATTTAGGTACCATTAGGTAGGTTATATGTTTTTTGTAATTTCTTTTAGTTCAAGTAAGTACGTACTCCAATAAGGATATGACATTTTTTAAATTTAGATTGGTATCATTTTTTTCTCATGATTAAGTTCAAACTGTATTTAAAAAAATAGTGCAATGGGGTGGTTCTTTTTTTTAAAAGAAAAACATTAATTAATCGAGAAAAATCACTTTCTGTGTCAAAAAACCACTTAAGCATTTTTTATATTAAATGAATAGGTATGCCCTATCTATCCATTTAAAAATAGACAAGTTGTTTAGACAAAAAATTCAACGTGAACAAACTTTTAGGTATCTCAAAGGAGAACAATCACAAATTATCGCACCAAAGCATTTTTAATAACCACCTACTGAAATAAAAAAATTAAACCCCTGAAAATTTTTCTTTTTTCCACAGATGACGAAAACACGAGCCATTTTAGCCCTCCTAGTGGGCGTGGCAACATTAGGGGATGTTGCCACCTTCTCAGAAATCGACCTATCAGAGAACGAGTCGGTTATAAATCCGCCAATAGGAATCGTTGACGAAATTGTTGGAAAGAGACGAGTAGAGACTCCTGAAGTTGTTTTACAATTGAAATATGAAAGCGGGGAACTGAATAGGATATACCTTGCTCAGTTTAGAAAAGACAAAGATTCTTGGGTCCCGTCAGTGCCGACGAGGAATAACTTGTGCGCGGACCTTTGCCACGCAGGTTCTTTTTTTTATTTGGCTGTTTATTTTGATTTCCTTTGTCCGATTTCTTTGTGGCATAAATTTGTTTACTTCAAGGCAAAGGGTTTTTGATTATACGTCTTTTTGTGTTAGTGTTAAAAGTGCTGTGTGTTATTTTGTTTCCGTGCAACAATTGTTTTGTGTTTGTCGCTTGTCTTGTTTTTTTGAACGTGCAAAAACAACAGAATGAGAAGAAATAATTATGTACATACAATTGTCCAGTAAGCTGTAAGTATCATAATGTAATACATTTTTTAAATTTCGTCTTGTATATTTTATCTTGGTTTTCAGTTAAACTTAAAAATTAATTTATAATTTTATAATTATAAAATGTGTTCCCTTTGAACTAAAGCAATATATTATGAACATTAGTTTCACCAAGATTTGGCTGCATGGTTTTAAGACTTTGCCTTTTCCTTTACGGAAGTAATTTAGAAACAACGGAAAATCTACAAATGAAGAAATGTTTGAATTAAATATTTTGCTTAAGTCATTTTCATCGTATACTTTCTCAGAACAATAAATTCCTATTAGTTTATTTCTTTATGATAACACATGTTACAAAGGCGTTATTGATAAGACATTTTGTATCACTACGTAAAACATATACTTCTACAATCAGTCACAAAAACCATATAATAATAATAAATTTAACAAATCTCTCTCTAGTTAAAAAAGCAAATGTAAATTTTCCAAAAAAATGTCTAATTTTATAAAATGTTGCCATTGACAATGATGCCAATTACCATTGGGTTAATTAATAATGGCATCTCCCAATTCACACCAAATTTTTCCTATTGGTAGGTAATTTGTTCCTCACTAAATTGCTCCGTTTTGCTCAAGTACCTAAACAATAGACGAGAAGTGAAATCAAACAAAATTAAATAAAAATAGCTGTTTGATTGCTATAACAATTGTTACATATAATTTTGTAACATGCATTGAAACTGAAATTTATTTGTTTTGGACCTATTTACCATATACATTAGTAACAGTAATCTTATGAGCTAAATTAATAGATACTTATCATAATAAGTTAAAACTTTTGTAAGAAAATGGAGTAGGCTTAGAATAATAACGCATAGAAACCTAGCCCGCACACGCTAAGTGAGGCAAATTGAAGTGCTCCTACACGAGCGGGCGGGCCGTGAGTGCTCAAGGTCAACTTGCACCGCATATAGCTCAAGAATTTTACCTAAAAATGACGAAATGTGCGATAAATGAGTGTAAAAATACGTCAGACAAACATAAAATAGATACTAACATCACATTCCAGAAGGAAGTAACGCGTTTCAACTTGTATTTTTATATAAATATTCACTAAAACCGAAAATTAACCTACTACTAAAACTAACCTACATGAATTTGATTTTTGCGTTACTTGTGACAGTTCGTTTGATATGAAACTATTATTCTATGCGTTATTATTCTAAGGGAGTAGGTATGTATTAGGCAACTAGTTGCCAACAGGTCTAGACCTGTATTACAATGGATTAATGCATTACAATGAATTAATAATAATATTGATTAATTAATTGCTAACACTGTTGTGTATTGTATGTTTATTGAAAATTCGTAAGTACTTATATCTACTTAGATAGCTGATTTGTAATATCTAAATGCAAACATAGGTGTAATAATATGCAGATACAACAAAACACGCAAATTTTTAAGCGGATTTATCTTGTGTTGGAAGACTTAAGCACATAAATAAAAATATGTTTAATTTTTTCTATTCCAATAAATAATGCTATTATTAATTGTTATTATCTCGGAAGATGTTAAGAGAACGATAAGGTTGAAAACACGCATAAAAATATAAAATTTATGAATTGAAACAAATTAATTTGACTTGGCTAATATGATTTACTCTGCCGATTAGGGATGCACATTATCATTCGATTTTTATGAAGATGTATCGATTCATGTCATTTTTAAGGCGAATCGTCTAGATCGTATTCATAATTTAAATAAAACCGATGACAAGTAAGCCTTATCCTGTTTTATATTGGTCTGCAAGAAAAGTAGTTTGGCAACATCTAAGTAAAGTCAAGAGCACATCAAGCTTGACACTTTGTCTTTGGACCGTTCTTACCGTAAGCGGCATAGAGTTGAATTTAAGTCTCAAGTATCATACTTGACGTGCTCTTGACCCTGCACAATAAATCTACGATTCGATTTGGCGATTGTCGCTACTTCTGTGCCATCTAAACGTCTTTCATCACTGGCTAATATCACTCTAAATGAACCGATATCAGTAATCGACTGAGGTCGAGGAAGGAAAACACGTGATGAAACTGCACGTCCAAGAAGGTATACAGCACTCGGAAAACGTGTGAAGGCACCGACCTGCTCGACCGTACAGACCTCAAAAGTTAGGGGAATTACATCTATTTGCCAAGTTTTATTGAAACCGGATTCATCCTTTAGTTTGCCACCCTTAGAGGTGGAATATTTCTTCAAATTTAAATGGGACCAATACCGTGGTATTCTCTTTCCAACAAAAAAAGAATCATCAAAATTCGTTTACAAATGACATCTTATAATAATGATTTGAATCGCAGGCCTGGGTGGAGCGACCTGTGGCCCGAGCTGCTCGGCCATGCTGCCTGTAGGAATCCAGAGCGCTCTCTCAGGAATCAACGACACCGACACCGAGTATGGAGAGCCAAGAGTGGCCGTCTGTCCCACGCTCTGCTATTACAATCTGGGTAAGTGAAATTGGGCCACTGCGTTTTGAATGTGTTTTATGCTGTTTCAATTGAAATCAAGTGTTAATTTCAATGCCCTGAGACCGACCTCGCAGCATCATGGTACATTTCTCTCTGCATCATTGAAGAGCACTTCAGATAGCGCACTAGAGGTTTTTGTGAAAGAGTTCGTCAAAGGAAGTACCCACCCACCTTACCTATTTCTGCCGCCAAGCAGTAATAATGTGAGCATTACTGCGTTCCGGTTTTGAAGGGTGCTGGTGAAATTACAGGCTCATGGGGCTTGTCAACTTATATCTCAGGGTGACGGACGCAGTGGCAGTGCCCCTCAGGTCTTTGTGATTTAAAACTCTGAGTGGCACTGCAACTGTTATGGACAGGCGTATCGCTTACTAGCAAGCGCGCTATCTGTTCGACCCGTGACTTTGTGTAATAAAAAAAACACCGGCATGAGGCAGGATCCACCGATATGCGCGACATCGTAAGGAATATCCCTCATCAGTGTGCGGTGGGCATTCAATCCTCTTCGATAATCTCCGGCGTTCGCCAGTTTGCGCTGGCCCTTAAACTAGGTTGTCTAGAATAGCTCCTGGTGAAAAAGTTCGTTCAGGGAAGTACTGCCACATTACCTATTTCTGCCGCCAAGCAGTATTATGAGCATGCGCGTGTTTTGAAGGGTGCTCATTAAATTATATGTAGATGGGAATTGTCAACTTATATCTCAGAACGAGCGCTATACCTACGGTGGGGTCGGGCTCGGCCTGCGGCGCGTGGTCGGTTTAAGATTACGGGGTATGCTTATGCTCTTCGGTGGCACAGTGATTAGTACTACGGGCGCTTGATGAGGAGGTTCCAGATTCGAGCCCTGATATGAGTCAATTTATGAAAAAACATTTTTAAGTTGGTTCTTTTTGCCCTCAGAATTATCGTTACTCTGGTACTCATAGTACGGGAAATTCTCTAGTTTGAGACCAGAAATTTGAAGTGATTGTCAGGCATTTTGTCCCTAAATACTTCTCGTTTTGACATAGCTTCCAAGAAAAAAGAATCTAACAGAGAGACGGTCGAGATACAACAACGCTATAAGTTGTATAAGTAAATAAGATATTATTTCCACTACATCGGGAAGTATGCCTTACATTTTGAACAATTGTGAAATCTAGTCTCCGTATACTGCCTACGTAAGGTGGCGTGCATACCTTGGCACTTATGACTTTAAAAAAATTAACATAGCTCTTTAATGGCGCCTATATTGATAAATGGCAAAAAGTAAAATTTGACTGCAAATTATTATTAAACATCCATAGAGAACCCCTCATGACGATTTTCAGTAGAATTAGAGCAAAATTTTATCAACCGCTAAGTTTGTAAGGCAGCCATACCTATTGGAAAATGGAGAAAAATAAATTTTGACCGGAAGTTATTATTAAACCCCCATAGAGACCCCTACATGTCGATTTTCAAGTGAATTAGAGCAAATTTTCATCTACCGCCAAAAAATACTTCTAAGGCAGCCATATTGAAAAATGGCGATAAATTAATATTGATCACAAATTATTTTCAAGCACTCCTAGAGACTCCCACATGACCATTTTGGAAGGGATCAGAATATTTTTTTTCTACTGCCAACAAACGCTTGTATGGCGGCCATATTCGAAAATGGCGAAAAACCAATTTCGAGCTCACATTATTATTTGGCACTTCTAGAGGCCTCCACATGCCAATTTTCAGCTGAAACAAAGCGAGTCTCTTTCGGCAGCTATTTTTAACGAAAAAAACACTTATATGGCAGCCATGTTAAAAAATGGCGAAAAAAAACTTTTGACCCCAAATTATTATTAAAGACTCCTAAAGACTCGTATGCCAATTTTCAGCCGCATCGAAGCAAATTTTTCTTCGGCCGCCATTTAGGATTCGCCATCTTGAATTTTTTTAAGCAGTTGACCACTAATTACCCTTTATGACATTCCTTCCAGCACCTCCTACCTATCTCTAATAATTTCCGTGCTAGAAGGCATCAAAATTAGTATGGCGGCCATCTTGTTTATTTGAATTTCGAACATTTTTTACTTTCTCCAGAAATTGACCAAGGTGTATCTCATAAAAGTGCACAAAAATCCCCCCATGTATTATAGTTTTTGCAGGCCGTTGATCACTCGTTTACATTTTCCACATTCAGGTCTTCTCACATTTGATTCTTTGCCTTGGAGCCCATCCGCGTATAACGGTATAAATATCTTTTTTCCACCATATCGGGAAGTATACGTTCTATTTTTCTAAATCAGGATTTGTAGCTTTATTATATAATGACGGGCGCAGTAGCAATAGTAGCCCCCCAGATACTCTGAGCGGCACGGCAACTGTTGTGGACAGGGGTGTCGCTTACCAGCAGGCGCACGACATGTTCGTCCCGTCACTAGGGATCATAAAAAAATAACTTACTTCAGTCTTCTCATACACATTAACTCTAGTTATGTGCAACCAGGCCTTTGTTAAGGACATCTTCGATCTTGGCGACCTTTCCCCACGTTCGCTCAGTAAACTGCCTACGTCTCCAACAAATTTCATTTGGTGCGCCTGCACTGCAGCGCCACACAGAGCTTTAATCGCAATGCACTGCCACTTCGCCCTTCACTCTTAGTCATAAGCTACCATGTGCCCTATTCCCTGTAGTCTCACCTACACCCTCACCCTTCAAAATTGGAAAGCAGTAACGCTTATACTACTGTAGATAATAAGCATGGTGGTACTACTTCCCTAGACAAACTCTTTCACAAAGAACTTCTACTGCCTTTAAAACATATATAACATCCAAATCTGTTCATCCAAACATTGAAAATTGATCACTTATAAATAAGTAATATTATTAGTATTGGATACCTACTTCAATCTGACGTCGTTGATGTCTATTGTATAGTCAATAATGAGCTAGAGCGAAAATCGGAGCCGCCTGTATCTGCCATTTAGATTTCTTGATGACGTCATTGCAATTATTTGGATGGTTTGCCCTTTGGCCGAAGTTACTGCCAGCTGGTCATGAGAGGCTTCAACGTAGTGAACTAAAAAGCACGGTTACGGCGCGTGTACACGCTAAGAAAAGTCGCCGGGTCTATGCAAGAATTCGTGTTGTTTCTACACTCGAACTGTGTACACAGGCTCGGCGCCGGACAAGAAACAAATCTTATCTATACCCGCCTCGACGCACTCTGCCGTTATTGTATGTAGTACCACCAAAGTACCACTGTTGCACCACTAATTTTATTGCGACTAATAAAATTCATGATTTACTTATAAATTAAGTAGAGGAACGACCCGTATTGTGGGACAAAACCTTAGAGATTTATAAAGATAAACAACGTACTTTTGTGGCGTGGAAAGAAATATTTCTTATTCTATACATATAAATTGCAATCACCATTTTTTTTAATTAGTAGTCAACATATTTCTTTACACAGTCGGTAGTAAAACGACAGCTACCTGGAAGTGCAATGACACGTTTGCTCGAAAGCATTCGTATCATGTACATACTCATCATTTTCTTGTCTGCAATAGACTAGATCCAACAAAATTCTTGTCGTGTACAAGGCCATTCTCGTCTTTTCTGTTGCAGACACGACGAGTTTTTTAGCGTATACATGCGCCTTAACACGTTCATGCATAGCAACAGCGTTTAGGTACTGTAAAATTAAGCACATTAGTTCGGGCTCCGCTTCGCTATGCGAATCTCAAAAACTAACTACGGACATTACAGTGCAATTTCCAAGGGCTTTCTGTGTAGTTGTTGCGCACTGCTTCTCCATAGAGATTTTTGCGTGCGATACTATTTAAGTACTCTCCATACGAACGGGTTAAGGCGAAGTATTTAAACGCGAGCTGAGATTTTAGGAGGTGAGGTGTGTGTGGTGTGGGTCGCCCCTCGCGTCTCGCAACCCTCGCGCTCAAAATTAATATGAATAAAATAAGAGAAGGCGGAGAAAATTTGACACAGACCCGACGTCGACAAGCGTCCCATGGCGACGGGTGGCACGAGTGTCGTTAAACCGCTTGCTGGGCAATTCGCAAATTTTGGAATAAATGTGAATTTAGGGCTTCAGTTGAAAACCAAAATTTTGCAGCTTCTCTGTAGTACATAAGAGAAATATCTCCGTATAAAAATTACGTACAAAGTTAAATATTTTATTCATAAAAAATTCGTTTTAGACTTGCCTGTATTCAAATGGTTTTGAAGATTTTATATGATTGAATAAAATGCATCCTATCGCGGAACACATTAGCACATTCTTTAAACAATATCCTCAGGTGTATCGTATATTTTTAGTAAGACCGTTACTTCAACTAAATACCTAAACCATTTGATCTAGTAAAACAATATTTCCCGCTTAAGAATACCACACAATTATTGTTCTCATACGATCACGCGTTGACAATAATTCTTATTTGTCTGTCCAGGAGAACCTTTGTGCAGTTGCAGCGCCCAGGAGCATTCAATTAGCGTGGACTGGAAAAGCGTGTGCGCAGTCTTCTGTATTACTGACAGATATGTCGTTAGAGGTGAGTATGTCGAACGCCGGCGTTGCTGCTTGTAATGTGATATAATCATTAAACGTACTAAAGGACTATCTGAATTAGTAATAATATAGATAGATACATGTGCCTTGCGAGTAAACAGTTCCAGGTTCCACAAAAACCTTTCGTAAGTCACATTGACTTATTTAGGATTAACCTTCGATTGCGTGTTGTTAATTTTGCCAATAATCACCGAATGGAATCTCTTTTGGTCACACAGTCTCTTTATAATAATATGTAGGTAATGCTCACAGAAATCTAAACAATAGATTTCTGTGGTAATAGTATTTTCACCTCACTAGCTTGAAAGGCTTTTTATAAGAAATCTGCACGCAAAAGCGTTTTTTCCACGCTAGCATGGAAAAGGTTTTTGAAATTCGTACTTGCCGATGGACTGTGGTGCACCTAACTTTTTCTTTCGATAAAAAAACATAACATAAAAACACGTTCAATTTGTTATTACTACGTTATTTGTGTAATATAAATCCGTTACTGTGTTTTATTCTTATTATTGTAGACATTAATGACTAACTAATTTTGTTTATTAAATTGTTTTAATTCCTCGAAGAACTAAACTGATTTGTTATAGTTCAACTGTTTTTCTTTCGTCTACTATTTTCCTCGTTATAGTGACGTGAACAGTTGTGTGTTTCAATACAAACACTCACATCAAACAACAACTTTGCAGCCTTGACACTTTGTGTTGGATTCTCCATTCTGGTCACGCCACCGTTGTCAGGTTTTAGACCTTTCGGATTCTGTTCCCGAAGGTCCGAAAGTTTTCTTGAAAAGATTTTGTGCTCTCCAGTTAACTTTCAACCTGTAATATACTCTCTTTCTTTGTAGATTTTTATTTTAATAAATATGTGGAGTTTAGTGCATGGACACAGAAAATTGCGGCTTTGAAGAAATGCCCTCTTGATATTATTAGATTTTCTAATATTATGTATTACGGACATTACATTTATGCCCTTATGTATTCATAAAATATGAATATGAAGTCTATAATATTTATTTTATTGAAGGTCATAATGTTTTTACCACGATAATTAGGTAGGTACCATATTTTTTGTGAATACACTCCACTAGTTTGTTGTGAAGGTACCTGGCTGAGTGAAGAAAAGATTTTCATAGGTTTCTCACAGACGGCGCTTCGGCAAAAAGTCGTTAAAAACAAAAAAAAACATGCTCTGCAACAGCACATAGAGGCCTAAGGCCTGCAAGTTCCGTAGCTGAGTTGGGAGAGCGATAGCTCCATTTTGGCTGAAAAGCTGCTGGTTCGAGTCCAGCTGGATCAAAGGAGCTTAAAAAATATTATTTAATACATCTGTGTCATAGAAATAAGTACATCATTGTGGGGGTTCCAGGTAATAACCACTCAATATGTTTAACCAGGCTGTCCCCCCTGCGACGAGAATCCGACCAAGATCCCTGTGCAGCTGGCGATTGGAAAGTCCCGCTTGCTCGACACGAATGACGGTTGGCAAGCCTGGTGCAACATGCAGTGCCGGCAAGGACATGGCGGAGCGGCCTGCAACTGTGACAAGTCTGCCTTCCAATAGACCAGATAATCAAAAGATCGACTAACAACTAAGACAACTTCTTAAATAAAGATAAATAAGGCTTTTCTAATGACGTCACTAAAAGTCAAAAGTGGCTGCTAAATGTAACAAGTCGATGGCCTTTCAGTTGACCAAGTGCTTTCATTTTGCGATGGCGGGCGCAGCAACGTGGCGGCCATTTTGATTATTTGTGATGTAGTGAGTCCAAATAGAATGGCCACTTCTAGCTATAGTTTGTAACTCGTGTGTATCGGCACTAAAGCAAATCTAATGTTAGATCTTCACACACAGAACGCGGCTCGCGGTTATCATACAAGCTCCACCGCACGTGGATAACTTACTAATTATTTTAAAAATAAAACCGGGATAGTCAAACACAAATCATCACATTATAACACGACCGTCTTTCGAAATAAAAACTAGAAGATGTTTTAAATCTGTCATTCTCGGACTAGTGTTCACTATCTAATTTCCGTGGCAATTTTTATTAATTACGTATTGGATTTTTTATCGTGCAACATTATTCATATTCGAGTAGGTACTACTGTATCGTGAAATATTATTTAATAATTACACGATAATATACTTGAATATTTAAATAATAAAATTGCCTCGGATATTAAATAGTGAACTTTAGTCTGAGAATTACCGAAATACCGTTAACACTTTTACGTAACCAATGAAGTTTATTTTTAAATTGTTATTCGTTAGGAAATACTTAGCTTGTAAAATACCTTCTTAACTGTAAGACGTAATACCACTTACAACTAATTTATAAAATAATGTAGGTATATGAAACTAACACAAACAGGTTGTTTGAAAATTAAAATTATTAAAATTTGATTGAAACATTTTCAAAAGGTTTTCAGGCATTCTGTTATATTAAAAATAAAGTAAGTGTGATTGTTAAAAGGCTTAAATGAATTCTAGTTCTTATATTTAGTAATTTTAAGTCTAACATACGAGAGACATATATTTTTTAACTATAGTCACTAGCCTGGTGTCGATTCGATAGATATTGCAATTTTTTTAAACGAAATTGAAAATAATACTTTACCTACGCAATTTATTTCATAATTTATGTGTGTTTATTTATAATTTTTTATTAAACATAATTTATCATTAGTAACATAAATATTTGTCATACTTTTTGTAATAACCAAATTTCAGTACCTCTCTAAATGAAGAAATAAATGTGTCATAGATGGCGCTACGGCAATAAAGTGGTGGTTAGTGGGAAGCACATAGAAAAGTTCGTATGGTCTGCTGATTGGTTCCCTGGCTTAATTGGCAGAGCATCTAGCACGGATTGCCTGAGGGTGCTGGTTCTAATCCAACCGGAACGAATGGATTTTTCTGGGTGTTTGATCTTTGTTATTAATGACTATAACAAACTAGTGGAGTAATTTCACAAAAAAAATTAATATCCATCGTATCCTAACTTAAAATAGTACATTTACCTAAACTTCAGGTAAATAACACAAACATAGATTTTATTGAACACCATGATGTTTAACTCCGATGAGATTAATTTATTTTTCGTGAAATTACCTCACTAATTTGAAAAATTCCTTCAATGCCAATCAACAGACGGCCGTTAAAACCCAAAAAGACAGATCGCAAAAGGTTGGAGAAATTCGTGAGATCTGCTGAATCGATCTGTAGCTCAGCTTGTAATAAGGTTGCCCTACATTGGCATTACAGACGCTGGTTAGAGTCCTGTCAGATCTAAGGAATTTTTCTTTGTGTCCGATCTTTGTATAAACCATTATAACAACTTTGTTTCGGCTTCTTGCCTATGACTCTTAATCGTACCGGTATTGAATGTGTAATATTTCTTGAAGCTTTGCCTTTTCTGTTCTCTGGTAAAATAAGTAGTTCTACAACTTACAGGTTAATTTTAGTTTTTAAAATGTTCACTTCGTAATCGACATCATTGTGATTTTTAGCTTAAAATGGGATATGTAAAAAAAATATATAAATGAAATATAATTGTAGAATAACTTATGAAAACAGAGGTTACAAGAACGTTAGTGTTGTAAAATTTTTAAAGAAACCTTTTGTTCAAGTTTAAAACTAAATTTAGCTTTCAGACGCTAACTTTAGATTAAAAATTATCAATACTCTGTTTAACGAACAATATAGTAAAAGAACAATAAAAATTTGTAATAAAAGACGTCGAAATGGCTCACTCATATGCATCCAAATTTTAAAATTACTTAATTGAGTAATTTTTAATAGTCAAACTTGGAAGTGTAAAGTTTCTGTAAAATTTTGCACTATCGTTTTTTAACAGTCTGTCTATGGTTAATTTTTTATTTGATTTAAAAATCTTTATTTTAGTGTCATTTATTATTTTATTAAAAATTTCTTTTCCTTTCATTTTTTTTTCATCATACTGCGGTCTTTGTATAGAATGTATGCGATATTTTTAGCGAATGCTATGATTTTTGACGGGCTTTTCCCTCAATGGCGGCGTAGTCATGGACCACGAATCACACTTGACTTAATCAATTGCGATTTAAAAAAATGTGTTCACCTACCCGGTCAGTAGTAACTAAGGTACACAAGGACGGAAGATCTTTTGGCTAATATACCAAACAATCCCACAAATACACTCTTAAAGGTCAGGGTGACTGTGCACTTTTTAAAACTGCAAAATTTGGCATTTAATACCAAATGGCCTAAGGTATTTCTTTAATGCATTTTATTTTTATTTTCCAATTCTGAAAACAATGATCAAAAAGATACAATGCAGTTCGCCAACAATGAATAACTTGAAAATCATTCGAATCGGAAACAGAATTCAAGAAACAGTGTTCTATTAAGATTGTCCCAGGTATCAAACCTGAAACGTTCCAGAGTATTCCGCCCTCGGAACGAAAAATGGCACAACTGCTGTATAAAATACGCATAGTCTTGCCGTTTATCATTACGAGGGCAGTACTTATCTCCTTACCGTCAGTATAAAAATACTGACTGCTGCGTAAAATTTAAAAAAAACACACATTTAATCGCTAAGGTAATATTGTACATCACCTGACATTGACCGCGGTACAATAAGAGGTTCACACATCACCTACAAACGACGGTGGTATAGTTAAATCCTACCAGTCAATTATTAAATATTGCGTTGGACTCCCTAAATTTTTCAATTTGCAATTGTAAAAAGTGTAGATAGTTCGGTATAGAAACGATTATTTAATAATATTGCAGCCAGAACTAACGGTTGGAACAGAACCGCGGCAGCGATTGTAGTTGACGAAATATTACTTGCACCGATTCGCGTTATCGCTTTATCTTTTGGACGATTGGACAAAAGAGAGAGCCGTCTCGGTGACGCGTGTGCCATCTGTATTAAATAACTAGGTATACTCTAGTAAAATTCGATATAATATAATGTTTAATATACTAACAAAATGTTGCAAAGCAATGACAGCAGGTGTAAAGAACATTTTTTGTCAATGTTCATTATTTAAGCTAGCTCTACACACGGCTTCGCTCCCTTAAATGGAATTTAAACAGGTAAATAGGTATGATAATTATCTGGCAATTATCCACAATGGTTCATAGTTTTGTCTTTTTAATTATTGACTAAAAATGACAAACAGAGAGAAAATTAAGTAAACACGAATCTTTTTGGGAAAACGATTGGGTCTGTGACTTTTTTGAGAATGACATTTGACACGTTTGAATACCTGATATAAACACGTGATACGAATAATTAAGGTATATTTATAATAATACTTGTCAATGACTATTATCCTGTTGCGATAGAAAGGATAAGACATCCCAAGAGATAACAACGGTACAAATATTTCTTCAACTATACCTATTATTTTAATTTTTAAATTACGTACACATAAATTGCGTAGCTATACCTCTCGCTACAACGAAGAATAATATCATTATGAAACCTGCACGTCAAAGACGGGTCACAAACCTTGGAAAACGAATGAAGTTTCGAACCCGTATTGGGTCAGCGAGGCGGTCAGTCTTTTTTGAAGACGGAGTAAAATTACTTTTGCAGGATTGTCAGTTGTCATAAAATTTTAAATAGTCATGGAATTGTTGTCGAGATTTTTATCGATAGATTATGACAGACGGTAAAATTTTGCCAAAAATGTCTCGATTGTGAATGTAAACGTTACGACGTTCTAATTATTACTAATTGTGTTAAACGTGCAGGACAATGACAATGCGAACGAAGGCTTACTCACATGCATTTAAACAAATTAAGAGACCCCTCACTAGCGTTTATCGAGTAGCGATGGGCGAGGCGAGTTATTTAACTCACACAGCTGGGCACACGCCTCCTCTCACAATGAAGCGGCTCGGGCTGTAGTTACTGCGCGGGATCAATTCGAATTCGGTACTAAGTTCACACATATCATTAAATCGCTTTTACCGATGTGTGCAGTGGACATGTATTTTTATTAAATTAATCAACTAATTTAAGTAGGTACTTTACTAACTCATATACGTCCCACTACTGGGCACGGGTCTCCTCTGAGAAGAGAATTAAGTAGGAAATTAAAATTTAAAATAATTATGTAAAGATATTAGGTTAGGAAATGAACGTAAAGGGAGTAAACCTATATAGCAAAATATTATAGGTAATGTAATGAAATTATTTGGATTTTGAAAGTCAAATAATCTATATTTTTCATAGGTAAGTAAGTTACACTTGAAATCGTCATACTGATTAAACTCTACTGGTCCTTCGTAAGGCAGATTCACCTGAGAAGAATGAGCAAGAAGCCCTAGGAGTAGCTCTTTGTAAATATACATTTGAATACATTTATCGTTACAAAATTTAATTTAAACATATTAGATAAAGAATATCTGAAAGACCTAAACGGGTCACTACCACGGATTTTTGTCATCCAAGTACGCAGAAGTTGTTTAATAACCTTTAGTGTAAAATGTTTGTTTCACAATAGTTTTAAACATAATAAATTTCAAATTTTGAATATCAATCGGAATATTATTATAGAAGCGTGTACATTGCCCCTTAAATGAAATTAAGACTTTGTGAAGTCGACTGTCAAGAACAGCTATTTATTTTTATTCCTCGTATTAATGTTACGTCTGTCACTATTGTTCATAAAAATTGATATTTTTCTTAACATAAATATACTGTGACGTTAGTGTAAAAATGTTAATCTCTTTAAACTTATCTATCTCTCAAAGACTTCTGATTGAGAGGTGGGAATATTTTAGATACAAAACGAATGTTTCTAATGACCAGGGCTCGATTCTTCTCATATACTAAACGAAGTGTTTACTACTAGGGGGTGAATTCAGAACCTTACGATAACTCAGTTGTCGACCGATTCGATTTGACATCGTACGATTTCTTTTCATTTTTATTCCCAACACCCGAATTGAACGTCAAATTGTCGTATTCGAAACCGAACCGAAATGACGTCACACCCGTTCGATTACTCGAACTTCTCGACCGGCAAAGGCTACTAACGTTTTTTCAGAACACAGTTATCGAAAGAAAGAATGCAATATGGAAATCTCTCACTATT